AGCAGGATGTGGCAATCACGGCCTGTGTGCTCCAATGCGCGCCATATGACGCACACAATAGTAGGGCGATGCGGTTTGATGACGTCATTAGCGTCTGTGGAGTGTACTATCCAGCGCTTCGGGGCGTGGTCGGGATCGCCTCTTCACGCCCTTCCACCAATGACGCTCAGAGAAGTCATCAAAAATGCACCACCCTCCAGCCATCGTGATCGCTGCCTTTATTCGTTTTGTATATAATCGTTGTATGAAGAAAACAAAGCGCTTTTTAAACCTTGATCATTCAACATGTTTTCAGGACACTCGGGTATGAAATTTTATAACTTCCAGCATAACATTTGTAGGTAAACGCATAGATTCATTGCACAAACGTCCCAGTTCAGGGTCGTTCACCAGTCCGTTTGAACAAGCAGCAATCTCTTTCTGTAGCACTCTGTTCACACCATGTGTACCACCGTGTCACTACACAATATGATCTGTAGTAGTATCATGTAAAGTCAGGCACTTTGTCGAAAATCATGCACACAGCTTTTTGATGCTCAAATTTCGGTCTAACCCAAATTCTGACTTTTTCAAAGGCAGTGCTCGCGCGAGCAAAGGGGACAGAGTGCAGAGAGCACACGGCCGACCAATGGGCGGCGCCCTACCTGCGCGCAGCGCATCGCTTATTGGTTGTATATGCACACGACCGCTTTTTAAAGCAAACCGGCTCTTGGGGCTGTATGCTGAATGTTGGGGAGGGGATGGGGTCTCCGACGGTTGACGGCCTACTTCAACTCGGTCCTTGAAACGCCTCAATTTGATGCTTACCTCAGGACTAAGCCTTAAAGAGAGGATGGACCTGCGAGAGAGCACAAGTCGTCCTCATTCTCCGAGCCTTAGTCTTGGGCGTGGCCAAGACAGGCCCTTTTTTCATGGACTCGTGCTAGAGCCTTCGGATAACGGTGTAACGCTCGCGTCAAGGTGAACTGTCACTTTCGGGCCGTATTTTCGTTGAAATTTTACGATCTCTTATCCTGCCATGGGTACCCCACACGAAAGTACGACCCTTCACCATTCCTGGGCGGAAGACCTCCATACCTAATATGACAACGCTGCTGCCTCCTTTGTAAACTTCGCTTCCCAACCTCCCGAGTTTGAGATGAATCCAGACAGGGATCGGTCTTTTCCGTCGCAAAAAAAAATTCCAGGCTCTTAGTACCAGGTATTTTCTTCTTGTCGTAGCCCTAAAACTTACGAGCTCTAGGCCATGATATATTTTCTCGTCCCCCCAAAAATGTCTACTAATAAAACACTCGACTGAGAGAGGGCGTATGATTTCGCGAAACTGTGAATTTATTTCAATTTAAAAAATTGTGACACATATCTCAGCAATTTCCTTCAGCAGGGAACTCGCAGCCGGACCTGCCAATTGGAAGAGGGGTAGATTCGCGAATCCATTCAGAGGGCGTTATAACAGCCTTGTGATGGCGCCTAGCGGAAGCCCTCGCTCTAGACGCATCTCATTCTTCAAGCCTAGACCCAGTTCCCTTCTATAGCTACCGCATACCCTCCTACAACTCTGCCAATTTATGGCGCCACCTATGTTCTGTCAATTCTGACTTGAAGGTGGATTCCACGATGCGGTCGAAGGTCGAGAAGGGCAAACTCTATTAGTGTAAAGACAGGTTGAGCCCCTTTAAAGTTACGGACCGACACTATCGAAGGACACGCCCCGGCGTTCTACCATGGCCGTCCCCGCCCCGCCGCTATCACCGCTGCCCGCCCCTTCTCTCCACCTTTCTCTAGCCGATCAGCAGAGAGAGCGTTACTTGAAGAGGTCAGCATTGATGAGAGCCGCATCAATGCGAAAATGAACGGGCAAAGAGGGGGTCCCATTTTTCGGGATTTCAGACGCCGTTTTTGCTTGGCTGTTAGGAGCTGTCGTATACTTACATCCGAGGCATGTTCCTACACATGTAATCCTTCTGCTAGATGCAGCGCTCACTCCATGCCGATCTTTTGGGGTTGGTAGTAGCGATTTTCATCACATCTCATAGCGCAACCGTCCAAGGTTCCTAGTCTGCAATCAGGTATGGGCCTAGTCGAAGTCAAGCTGGTAACAGTGGGCTAGTTTGCACGTCATGGCATAGGAGACGTTTTCCTGAGACCGATAGTCTGATTTCCGTAGAACTATCTCTAAAGGATTCACGTCTTGGTTGTCGTCGATTGATGTCATGCTGATTTCAAGACTTCTACAGAACCTTCCAATTTTCAGCTAGGAGACTGTGATGGTATGACTGAAGCTGAGTGCGAGAATTACTATCGTCATAATGCAGCCATGGTCGAGGTAAGTGTAAACCCTTGACGGCGCTGTCGGAGAATTAAGTGTGACTTCAGGTATTCTACGAGCAGCTCAACTACGAGTTACTCCAAGAATCTGAGGCATATGGACTTGTGAACCTGATTGCCGATTTTGGTGGACACCTTGGCCTGTGGCTGGGTGAGGCCGATTTGATACACAAATTCAAAAACCTAAATGTCACAAAATTGTTTCTTTTAAGGTTTCTCCGTGATAACTGTGATGGAGGTGATAGTCTTGATATTAGATGTGATATCGATTTGTTTCCGACGAAGGAATGACACGATAGCGAAGAATGAACGGCAAAAAACTGCAAAAACATATCCGCCTCCATCAGGGGATGAAAAGGCGAAGTCGCTAGTTCAAATATGACCGCCAGCAATCACTTTACTGAGTTGTGATATTTCATTGTTTTAGATTTGTATAGTATGTCAGCATAATAAATATGGTTGATTATGGCCGAATTTCAATACAAAAACGGAAGCGGTTTGATTTCATGGAAAACGCCATTGCTGTTACTGTGCAGCGTGCTCCACAAATTCCAGGAGTGTAGACAGATTTGGGTCAAGTGATGACATCGGCTCAAGTCGTTTAACACCCCACACCCATGTACATAACGCGCGCGTGAATAGAGATGCTCGACCAAACTTAAAGGCGCAGGTCAGAAACAAATTGGTGTATCATTTTGTTCGAAATTAGACAAGAAGCGCGATGAGGAACATTAGTGGGGAGAAAAAGCAAAAAGCACCATAGAAAACACTAAATTTCCCTTGTGAGGCCGGCCGTAGTACGACGAGAGACAGCGCTGCGAGGAGAGGGAAAACGCGAGAGAGCACGTTGTTTGCGAGAGGACGCAGACGCTACGTATGCCACGATTGATATACGTATATTCCAGCAAGACCTTTTTACGGGCGTGAATCGCTAGCACACAATTTTTCGCTTTTAGCAGATCGGAGGTTTTCGCTGCGAGAACTCCCATGTCCACCCCTAATCATAAGTGTACCTGGGGTGCCTGCAGCGAAAAAGTCGTTTTCTGTTTCGCTACGCTACCCACAACCAGGGTCAACCGTCACGTTCGAACATTTTCGGGATTTTTGCGACCCCCTAGCTCTCGAGGGGTCCAGTTGCGACCCCTGTTTTTGTTAATAAGAGTGCTAGACATGAATCCGTTGCGCCAGAAAGCGTCTGCGCGTCGTCGCGTCGGCCTTGGAGCGCGGCAGGTATCACCCGGGCGCTGGAAGAACGGGACGCGGCGAAGAAAAAATTTTTAGAGGGGAATAACTTTCTTGGGACGTATTTTTTTGACTTGTTGAGGTAGATTTTGATTGTGCCTGAGGTGCGCTTCCAGAAAACTACAAGGATTGCCTAACTCTCCGGAAAGTACTTCTGTTAGAAGTGGAAAACCCAAAATTCTAAGAAGGCGCACCTTCAACTTTGAAGGCCCATAAAATCTTTCGTATGCGACATTTTGGAAATCTGTAAAAAGTTTCAGAAACTTCAAATATTTCTCTAACAAAATAGTATAAAAAGTTTAGTGATTGTCCCCTTTTTCAAAAAATTGTCCCGTTCGAACATTTTTCGTGCAAAAGCGAGTTTTTGGGCTTTCAGCGACCATAACTCACTTCATTTTCATTTCTGTGATGCACTTTTTTCATGGGGTGAAAGTACAGGATTTGCTCTTTCTAACAAGCCCAAACCGTTTTTCAAAGTTCATTTTTCGAGAAAATCACACGTTCGAACATTTTGGGGGGTTTTGCCGAACACTTTTTTGAAATCGCGAGTTTTTGGGCTTTAAGCGGGCATAACTCACTTCATTTTCATTTCTGTGATGCACTTTTTTCATGGGTGAAAGTACAGGATTTGCTCTTTCTGAACAAGCACCAAACCGTTTTTCAAAATCATTTTCGAGAAAATCACACGTTCGAACATTTTGTTCCCATAGGTTTTTGAGCAGCACATGCGAGTTTTTGAGCTTTCAGCAATAATAACTTCCTTCAAAGAACTTGTTGGGGGAGGGGCGAAGACATTTTTGAAGACTACGAGATTTCTGCTTTCTTATGTGTTTTACCGTTGTCTGGAAGAATCGTCCTCAGAAAATCAGGTCCCGAAGAACTTTAATTTCAGCCCCGAGAAGTCAAACCTTTCATAGGGATGCATTCAACTGTTCTTTATTCCTCAAGGAAAACACCGTAATCAAACAATTCTTGCCCTCGGATACGCCACGCACGCGCCTGTGGCTGGCAGTCCTCGAAATTGCGACCCCCTTCCGACCAAAATGCGACCCCTTCGTTCGAACAGTTCGAACGGACGGTTGACCCTGCCCCAACCTTTCCATGAACAAGCGAATGGCTTTTCTAATACTGTAAAAAACAAGGCTAGGGAAACAGAATTTATCCGAAAAATTGCAATAGAAAAATGTGTACATAGACCCGTAATGAAAACCAATTACTAAACGGGACGCAGTGAGCAGAAGCATCTTGTTCCATCTTCTCGATAAAGACTTCGGCACATCCCGTACATGAGAACCTCCATATCCTTGGGATTCGCACAAATGTCGGACAGGAAGGGTGAAATTTCTTCGAGTGTCCATAGCTTTTGCATGGAAAAGAGCACATCCAATCTGAATGGAATGTTAACTGAACACCAATGCAAACGGAAGAGTCACGCAATAAAAACGAAAGGTTTAGTGTTTGATCGCTCGAAATAATTAAAAAAATAGAGGAATTTTAATCATACCGAGCTCTTGGATTTTCTGGTAAGTCTTCAGCACTGAGATACGAAATGAACTTTCCTCGAACATTCTCCGAGTGAACTGAGATGCCAAGAAGGTGTGAAGGCCTGCAAAGATATGTTTATTAGGATGAAAATTCATAAAGTAGCTTGCCCAAGATCAGACCGCAGTACGAGGCCATAAAGGCAATACGCTTAGCCCGCCCGCATATGCACAAAGAAGTGGCATGGACCATCATCAAAACACGACATGGTCATGCAAAGAGATCCCTGGAAACCACAAGACCCAGTTGTGCTCGCGGTTATTCTTCGCAGTTCTAATATGGAGTAGATACGTATCGACCATGCTATCTTGCGATCTTACGATCGCACAATCGCAATGACCGTGGCCTGGTAGAGTACTGTAGTCATGCTCTGCTGCTGGGTAGCTTATTTTGTAAGGAGTCACTACTCAAAATGTAGGATAGAGAGGACGAGATAACGAATGCACCATCATTTGAAAGATGGCGCCATAGGGCTCGCTCTGAGTAGCACCATCTTTCAAACGGTCTCCTTACATGGCATTGCAGCACTCTATGATAACCCACGTCCTAAAGGAACGTCGGACTTCAATCTGAACAGGGCGTGACCGACTCCTTTGTTTACTGATTATTAAGGAAAGTTTACCGCAAAATGTACGCATTACCAACTGCTTTTTCAGCTTCCCTCTTGTAACGCGGTGCGAAATCCAAGCGCATGAGCCTCAGGGGGTTCAATCTGTAGGAAAGCCACTGTGACTAAGCCCAAAGGAGACGGAAGAGTTCCGTAGAGAATGATAAATGCTCACGCACCTCAGAATCGCTTTCATCCTATAAGGCTTAGCCCTAAAACTGAGCGTTTCCCTGACGCAGTTCTACGGGCTAACCCCCCCCCCCCCGGGAGGAGCCACATTGCGCCCGAAACTATAACACTTAAACTACCTACTCCATTTTGATTCCAACAGGCAACATCTCATCGAGTAGTTTCTCGAATGTTTGCATTTCCAACTTCGCAACAGCTCGCAAAAGTTGAGCAGCTCGGGCGCGAACAAATGGTTCCGGATTGACGTTATAATCTGAGCTCATCAATTGATGAATAAATAAAGAACTCGAAACTAATGTAAGTTGGTGACATTTAGTAACAGTTACCTCCTTCCTCTGTTTTCGTGCACATTTTCCTGAGGAACCAGTCAATAATAGCATCAGTGACGTTCTCTGGTAAAAAAGCACGGAGATTTACGGCTGTGAGGCGAGTGATGTTGATCGATGGCACATTGAGATCATCAAATGCTTCGACAATAAGGTTCAAGAAATTATCCAGCAGATCATTCGACAACCATCGCATTCTTCCTGAAAGCGAACATCTCCAGCGACCGAGCAGAAGCTCCGTGGCATCATGACAGAACGCGACATCGCCTTAATCGCGCCTAACTCGGGGTATAGTGCGTTCTACCTATAATCAAGGTCTACAAACTACTTAAACTCAGTCCTTTGAGCCGCCTCAATTTGATGCTCTCGCCTGAATAGAGGTCCATAACTACTCTGTAATTGGTTCTCCATCCTGTAGCTCTTCCCTTCCCTCCAAGGCTTAGCTTCAGGGCTCTCACTTTCCTCTAGTATTTAGAGCCAAGCTAGGTGTACGCCTCTGATTAGCTGCCCCTACGCATCCGCGGCAAAGCTCTTGAAGGAAGTCCAAATAGTCATGTAACTACGCAGTACGCACGTAAACGCATTTTTCGCTTCGAGAACGCCATCATTATAGACACGGAAATATCATAACACAGAAACCCAAGTTCTCTGCTCTCGATGGCAAAACTTTTTGCTGCGGAGAACCGCAGTCTTCACTCCCTGACCATTTTATGGCCCTTGCGTTTCTGCAGCGCGAAGTTTCGCGCGTAAAACAAAAAATCGCATTCTGTCCTAGCGAAACAAACCTCAACATCCGTAAGGCGAATGGGGCGACACAGCGTTTTGTCATAATGTCACATACATCTTAACAGTGACACTTTCAACATTACTAAAAAGCATACCATTATGTTCCACAACCGGCATTCACCTAGTCCGGGGGACAAATTCTTCCACTCACTCACTGCACTACAGTCTAGCGAGCACCATACATATCTGAAAGAACAAAATCTACACCAAGCCCAATGCACCAATGCCAGGAATAAGGTCTAACCTACGATTCATTTGTAGCGAATACATTTGATGAGCCAATTCCAAGGAATCTATTAGTTAACAAAATCTCGAAGCTAGTACGGCGACCATGGATTTTTTGCAACTCCAAATAGTGTGAGAACGATACTATCTAAAACGAAAACCCCAGCCAAAATGCAAACGCAACCAGGTGCACAAAAACACTCCCGAATAAGTCACTCACTGGGCAATTGACCAAATTTATCTCCCTGATCGGCTCTAAATTCTATTCTCGTTTTCTTCATGTTTTCAACTGTCTACTATCAAAATTCATTATGTAATTCGATGTTTCACTTAACCTTTCTTGACAAAATTTTTTATATATTAGAATAAAATTCTGTTACACTATAATCCTTACTTCGTCTTTCGCGATCACACTAACGATTACAAGCCATCGCCATGTTTAATTAAAACTTAGGTAAGTAAACTACATTTTTTGTGCAAAAATGTTACGTACATTGATAGTACATTTTTTTTTTTTTTTTTTTTTTTTTTTTGCACTCTGCAATCTTTCGGACATGTATCGCTGCGAAACCTGCGGAGCCTATCGGGCTGGGACTCTGCACCAGCTTAACGTGCGCATAGTCGTCATCCGCTCGGATAACGGCGGGCACGCATATCCTCCGACAGCAAGTCGAACTGTCTGACGATCTGAATGCATCACAATCGTCGAATAACCACAATCGGACGATCGAACCATCCCAGCTTGCGACACTTGCAGCCGTGCTTTATCGTCCCGACCTGACATGCGCCGGCCTAACAATCAAATCACTCAGATTCATCATGGGGATCTAAGCTAATCACCGCTACGAATCGTGACTGACTAAACGAAAGTCATCAAGGCAAAGTTCGGGATCAGACCCAACCTAAGAAGCCCTTACCATGGCTAGAAGTGCTGGGCACCCAAGTGCAAAGTTAGCGCCACCTTTCTACATCGAAACCCGTCACCAGGACCCTAGGCGCCATGAACTTCTAACAGACTCCACCAAACATAACATGGTCCGCCCACCGATCGATGTCTTGTCTGCGTCGCTGCGTTGATCTGCTATGCTCTCTCTTCTCGGAATTCTCTACCACCCTCTGCGCTCACATTATCTCTCATCTCCCTCCGTCTTTGAACTTTCTCCACAGCATTGAGCAAAATGCTCGTATTTCCTGTGCATGTCAGGATTTTCTTTCTCCTTTTTTCCCCATTGGCGGTCCACCTCTCATCCCTACTTTCACATTTGAGTGGAATCAACCCATCAATGTAATCCTGATTCTTGCCTTTAAGCTCCATGCTCGAACAAATTATTGTAACGAAATATGCGTGAGATTGCGGGCTTTTGAATGACACCAAAATCATCAAAAACAATGAACGAAATTCAAAAAGCCATCAACCGCGATAGCAGCGGGAAATTACGGCCAATCTGACAACATTAACACTTACTTGTCTCCCGCTTTCACAACATTTAAAACTTCTTTCGGCAACTGAACGAGCTTGTAGTCATGGAGAGGAAATTTCTCAGTAAACTGAAGTTGCTGTACTTCTGCCTGAACACTTAAATAACGCTTAATAAATAAATAATGAAACGAAAAGGATCTTAAAGGAGAAGAAGAAGGATCAAACAGGAAATACTAACCTTTACACCTTCTTCTTCACGTACAACTTTAAGAAGAGCAGTAACATCCTCCAGTGTGGGTGCTTTCGATATTTGGTTCACAATACGTCGAGCATTTCTTTCCTAATTTATCTTCAATCAATTGTTACTGTTCGTCTCATCTATAGAATTGTCAAATTGTCAAATCTAGGAAAAAACACCACGAACCGCCGCGAAAGGAGATCGCTCTGTCACCTCCTTCGGTTTTGGTGTCTTCGTTTACGAAGTTATCCATCTGAAATACGCCAATTACTACTCTCTTATTTCACTTACAAGGATCTAAAAATAAGCAATATCAAACAACAGATGCTCATAATAAAGTTAGGTAAAGAGAAATTACCGAAGAAATTTCAAACAATAAAAGTTCGCGCACATGACAAGTCGCCACAAGATAACTCGTCCACATGACGATTCCGCTTGCTAGCACGGCGGCTCGCAGGAACTCGAACGCCACCAACGACCCACGCGCCGTGGTCGTTGTGAATGAATAAGGGTACTAGAAATGACCAGCATGTCAGATTATCGACCAGTTGTACCTCAAAATAAAGGTAAATGGAAAGATATCGTGCGAAAGGAATGTGGTTATTATAAGTATCAATTCGGTGTACCTATGAAAGAAATCTATGAGAAGTTTTTGACATATGCCGCGAAACAACAAAGGCAGGCACAATGCTACTAGTGAGGTTGACGGCTGCACGGAGAGCCCCCTCTTATGGTGTAGACCCGTTCAGCACAGGTAAATATTGTTTGTGTCGTCCATGCCGTACCCTTTCAACATGAAGTAACAATGCTTCGCCACTTCAAAAGCCTCCTGTTACTACTACCATCAAGCTTTTCGTTTATTTGTTGGTCTCTTTATACCAATCACATCTCATACAGCATGTATAGCAAAGAGACAATGCCTGAACTCGAATGCCTCTTTGAACATATTGTAGAACTCTGTTAGCTATCACCACAAACCTCGTCAATTGACCTTTACTTGAGCTCGACCTCAGACCCAAGGACGAGCTGGTGACATTCTACCCAGACCTAAAAAGCATCCACGATGGGAAAGTGGAGATGCTGAGACATCCACAATCGGTATAAGGCCGATGCCATAGTTTGCGAATCGCTCGATTCGAAACTATGACGTCGGCCTAAGAGTTAGTGCTGCAACGGACGAGTTGTCTTGTAATGGTAATACGTTCTCGATTCGTGCTTTTGGACCATTCCACAACAAATTTTCCTCTACTCATCTGGTTCTTTATTCTAATCTCATGCATTACGCTAACTCTTATAAATCTTAGGTAGTTGGGAAGGGAGAGGAGGTGGGCCGCTAGACGCCCTTTTCGTGTTTTTTCGCTTCAACGAATAATCCCAGAACAAGAACCAGTTATATTAAGTGCTGTGGGAATGGGGCAGGACGACGGTACTCATCGTGTATGAAAAGTGTGATCCTAGACTGCTGCAATCGCGGATGCTGTCCCAGTGGAAGGGTTCCTCAGACTGGCCTCTTCCTCAGATACCTTACCACTCATCTCCCTTTATGTCTGCGGTTTTGTCTCAAGGAGCTGACATAGATATGGTAAAAACTTTCAGTCGTATTCATGTCCTCCGTTGTAAGGATGTTCGTGTTGTAAGGATATCCGTACAATATTCTCCTACACATAGGCATTTGGAAGTGTACGATGGACGAGTTTTCGTCGACTCGTAGCACGGTGCAGCATGAGGGGGTGTGGTTAGCTAGGACCGAACGTGACTTTTTTCGCTGCGCAATCCTTACTTTAGGTCCATAGTTGATCATGAGTGCACTTGGAGTTTCTGCAGGGATAGATTTTTCGCGTTTCGCAGCGCGAAACCTTTTTCGCTGCGGGAACCTCAGGTCCACCGCTGATCATCAGTGGACCCGAGGTTCCTGCAGCGAAAAATGTTTCGCGCTGCGAAACGCGAAAAGTCGCTTTCTGTCCTAGTGAACCACACCCAGTACAAGGTACAATTCTGTAGCGCTTAACCCTTTGTAACATGTATGTAGAAATTGCACGCTGATTCCATGCGGGGTTTAGCTGCAGCCGTTGCAACTTTGTCTTCGTTATTTCATCTGTGAACTGTTTAACCACTCAGGAAGGCAAACGTCTCTTTACCGAATCGCCAGTCAGAGGTTCTCTTTGTATTTTGTGGTTCTTGAGCATTCCTATAGATAATATAAGCATATGTTCTCTTACTTCTTCCACTATAAGAGTCAAACCTTTCCGAATGTCGTACAATCCCACTGGACAGTCTTTCGATAAGTTTTGCATAAGATTTCATTTGAGTTGTAACGCTGAATAGCATGAAGTGTTTCGTGTATGGAATTGCGCCTGGTTTTGCTATCATTGCCTTTTTTCGAAATTCTGAGCGCTATCGTGATGAACGGTCAACAGTTCCAATTGTTCAGGTGACTATTTCGACGCGTCCCGAATGCCTGAAAGCAGGGTACAATCAGGCAACGATTCGACTCCCCTTGTGGCTGATGGTCCGCGAGTTGCTAAGCGTAAAGGGAAACGTCGACTCAATGCTGGCATGGTAACGTTATTTCAAGCTTTGCTCACACTTTTCCGAATATCTCTAATATCGTAACTCCACTCGCTCTTGCACTGATAGCGAATAGTAAGCTGAGGTAACACAGCCAACAAGAATGCTTGGTGATTACTAAATATTGGCGCACACTCAAAGTCCATGTCAAATATCCTCCCCTTCAAAAAGCGAG